AAAAAAAAATGGATTTAGAAAATTTTTGTAGTGCTCATGAAGCAAAATGTTGGAAATTTTAATTTTTTTTTCATGCTTTTTGAACATATTTTCCACAAAACTAAGTCTTTTCTGCTTTCTGTTTGATCTATAATATGCTTCTCAGTTTCTTCAATAAATTTCATTTGAAAAGAAAACAATCATAATACAAAACTTGCTTTTTCCAGCTAATATTAATTTACTTCTCATTTCTTATGTACCAATTTTTTCAGTGTTGGTTTTGAAGAAACATTGAAAAAGAAATTATAAAAATATGGAAAAAAATATACTTTTAAAAAGTTAGTTATGAAAAGTTTTAAGTAAAAAAATTAAGTAAATTAAATTAATGATTTGGCCAGTTGCCGTTTAGCAGGCGGCTGTGGAGCAACATCACTGCTCTCTCTAATATCTTGGTCATCGCCATCATCATCAGAAAGGTCGATAATTTCGTATAACAGATATTCTGGAATTTCATCTTTGTCTTCTCCTTCTTCCTCGTCTTCCTCTTCTTCAAAGGTGTTTTTATACCACCAACAAATTTCAGCGAGTATTGCATCTGGAGATTTCTATCCTCTCTACCTAAAACGAAAATAGTTTTCAATCGTTAACATGTTTAAATTGTGCACTCTGACAAAGATATTAGAAAAATCTAGGAATTCAAAATATGCACACTCTATAGTTACCTTATTTGATAACGTTCGCCGTGCTCATCAGATTCAGTTGGCAACTGTTGAGCGAGTTGATCAAGATGCTGATGCAAGAGATGAATTTGGTACGACATATTAACCCCAATTTCATCGAAAGCTGCCAACATGTTTGCAACAGATTGCCTGTAGTTGTCTTTGCGTTCTTTACCCAAAAGTCCTTTAATGACTGCTTTCAATGCGAGCCATGCATTTAATTCTCGGTCTGTCAGAACTTGGTTAAAATCTTGACGACTCATTAGTTTCCGTATGTCGGGACCATTAACAACCCCTTCCTGAATTTTGGCGTTACTTAGTCTTGGGAAAATGTCTTTTAAGCGATTGAATACTGCTGGTCTTTTTGCGATACATTTCAAAATTTTTTTAGCAATGCCAAGTTTGATGTGGAGCAACGGCAACAAAATTTTCATTTCAGGAACAAGACTTTCGTGTAGCCTATTGTCTTTAGGCCATTTCCGTCCAATGCGACTATTCCAGTTATGCTGTTTGTACTGGTTTCTTCCTTTAATACCTTCTCCGTATCGTGAATCCCAATCGCACAAAAACACGGATATTTTGGACGGCCAGATGCTGTTAAGCCTGTAATCAATGAAACTATTTTGAGGTCGCAGCAAATGCGCCACTGGTGTTCGTTATATTTGACTACTTCCAGAATGTGTTTCACATTATCGAAATTTTCACTAGTGTCAGTGCTATACGCAATTGGACCAGAAGGCATTCTATTCGTCTTGTGCAAAAGCACAACTTTTAAGCTGATTAGTGAACTATCGATGAATAAACGCCAATCATCTTTTTTTAGGTTAACCCTATCGTCTCCATTAACTTTTCGATATCGTTGCAATAAGCGAAATTTTTTGCATCATTCACATTGAAGAACTTTTCTAACTCTTTTTGGCGTTTTCGATATGCTGTTACTTTGGTACCTTTCGCCAGCAAATTATTTCCTTTCAAAAATGAAGCCAGTTGTTCTGATTTTTTCTGAGTCACACACAAAATTGCAACAATTGCATCCAATTGCTTTTGTGTGACTAGGATTGGGTCCTTTGATGTTTCATAGGATGTACCTTCACCAGGGTCGTATTCTGAGAAGAGATGCATGGATATAGCAGCGGCAAGTTTTGTATTATTATCAGAGTTGCCACTTTGTTAAATTATTACGAAAATTGGTAGAAAAAATTTGCGTTGGTAAAAAAGTAATTTTTTTTTCATTTTGGTACACTTTTGTTAAATTATTTTATTTGAAAAACGAATAAAATTTTGTTCCCGATTTATTTTACGTAGTTATCTTTGTATTATGATTTTATTTTCAAACGTGTAGTCTTCTTTATTGCATTAATTTTCGAACGCTTAATGCACACTTTTTATATACGTACATACTTACATACATATGTGAGTATGTATATCGATAAAACGCGAACAAATCGTGCTCCATTAAAGACTCATTTCACTGAAATCTTGAGGAGCCTTTGAACATTTGAACATTT